CTAACACAAACCACGTGTGGCCCTCCATGCCAGCTTCCATGCTGTTTTCTTTGGACAGCACGTCTCCTTTCTCTCTACCACAAGCTGATGTCTTGAAAACTGCTGATGGAGGGTTCTCTCATCCCCCTCGGAGGCCTGCAGTGTAGCCACTTGACGTGGCTCCCTCTCCCTCCCTACCCCTCAGACTGACTCACTTTCCTCCTTGGTTTCCAGTCCTCCTCACCCTGAGCACCACTTCCTTTTATTATCTGGGGGGAGGGGCATGGATTTTCTAGTTTCCAAGGAGAGCGGTCCACAGTGGGACTTAGCCTGGCATGTCTCTGGTCCTGCTGCTTCAGACAGCCTGGGTCTGGGGGTCCCCACAGAGTGTCTGGAATGTGGCCTGTGGGTGCCAAGGATGACGGTTCTCTGGATAGGAGCGGCTTGTGGCCTGTGACACTGGACACACTAAGACCAGAAGCAAAACAGCTCCCAAGCCTCTGATCTTCTGTCCTTTCAAATAGCAGCCTTAGACTATAGTTGCCATTGCCAGGGTGATAAAGAAAGCGAAATAAACCTGGGTACGGCTAAACGAGGAGGATGGATGTTCTAGTCCAGCCCTGCACTGTTCACTATGATGGCAGTAGTCATGTGAGGCTATTTAAATTAATAAGAATTAAATTAAATTAAAAGTTCAATTCTTTAGTCTCCAGAGCCTTGTTGCAAGTGCTCAATCTTGGAACTCAACCTAGGGCTTAGTGGTGACCGTAAAAGGTCTATGCAGATAGAGAACATTTCCATGGTTGCAGAAAGTTCTGTTGGACAACCCAGCTCTGGCTTGTGGGGGGCCTTGGATAGTCTGAGGAGTTTTGCTAAGTTTAAAACACAGCCTTGCAATGGAATGTTCTTCAGCTTTAAAAAGGAGGGAAATTCTGGGGCGCCTGGATGGCTCAGTCGGTTAAGCGTCCAACTATGGCTCAGGTCATGATCTCACAGTTCGTGAGTTTAAGCCTCACGTTGGGCTCTCTGCTGTCAGCCCAGAGCCTGCTTCAGATCCTCTGTCCCCCTCTCTCTCTGCCCCTCCCCTGCTCGTGCACTCGCACACACATGTGCTCTGTCTCTCAAAAATAAACATTAAAAAAAAGAAAAGGAAGAGACACCTGGGTGGCTCGGTCAGTTAAGCATCCGACTGGTTCAGGTCCTGATCTCACGGCTCATGAGTTCGAGCCCTGCATCGGGCTCTGGGCTGACAGCTTGGAGCCTGGAGCCCGCTTCAGATTCTGTCTCCCTCTCTGTCTATCCCTCTGCCACTTTCTCTCTCTCTGTCTCTCTGTCTCTCTCTCTCTCTCTCTCTCTCTCTCTGTTTCTCTCAGATATAAATAAACATAAAAAAAAAAAAAAAGGAAGAAATTCTGACACCTGCTACAACATGGATGAACCTTGAGGACATTATGTTGAGTAAAATAAGCCAGACACAAAATACTGTGTGGTTTCATTATATGCAGTACCTAGAATAGGTAGATTCATACGGATAGAAAGTGGAATGGTGGTTTCCAGGGGCTAAGGGAGGAGAATAGGGAGCTGGTGTTAAATGGGGGATAGAGTTTTAGTTTGAGAGGATGGAGAAATTCTGGAAATGGATCATGGTAATGGTTGCACAGCAGTATGAATGTGCTTAATGCCGCATAATTGTATGTTTAAAATGGTCGAAATGGTTTATGTTAAGTGTATATAACACAGTTTTTAAAAACACACAGCCTCGGGGTTCCGGGGGTGGCTCAGTCAGTTGGGCGTCGAACTCTTGATTTCGACTCAGGTCGTGATCTCACGACTCGTGAGTTTGAGCCCCACATTGGACTCCACGCTGGTGGCACGGAGACTGCGTGGGGTTCTCTCTCTCCCTCTCCCTGCCTCTTCCCTGTTCATGCTGTCTCTCTCTAAATAAGTAAATAAAACTTTAAAAAAATTAAAGAAAAAGAAAATCACAGCCTCACAAACTACTAATTATTCCCCAAGAACTTTCAGAATAATGTATTCCTTATGAACAGAGTGCAAGGAGGGAGGATCTGTTTGCGAGCACCTGTATGTCCTTAAAGGGCTCACATTCAGCATTCATGTACACAAGGACCCTGACAGGCAGGCTGTGGTCCTTGTGCCCCAGATGATGAATCAGGCTCCCTGGGTGAGGAGTCTGGCCGCTGACACACAGCTGGCATGAGGAAACATCAGGATTTAACCCCAGGGCTGTCTGGTCCCCAGGGGTAATAATAATCTGTGGTTACTCTTTGCAGCATTAAACCCAGGTCTGCTGCCTCAAATTAATAAAGAACACTTGGGGAGACACTTCGGCTCTTTGGGCCATGCTTGTCTGGGTTAAAAAAAAAAAAAAAAAAAAAAAAAAGCAAGTCAGGACAGAGAATGAGAGAATAGCTTCCTAAGCAGACTGTTGACCATAAGAAACACTGGGGGGAGGCCTCTTCAGCTGGCATGCACATTCAGACAGGGGCCCGGAAGGAAGCCTGAAGAATGGAGAACGGGCATGAGAGGGTGGATGGATTACTGGTGCAGACCCTTTTTTCCCCCCCTAAGTTCCCTGTAATGGTGTTTCAGCAGTGTCTTAGCAACACCTATAATCGCTAAAGGACTGCAGCTGGGACTGATGGGTCACCCCGCTTTTCAAAAGAAAACGCGTTCACCTGTGCCCAGAATGTTACACCTACTACATCTCGGGCTGAGTTTTCACGTTGGCATGACATTCCAAAGCCACCTCTGAGGGTGACCTCAGTTAGGGAAAGGGAATGGGATTTACATTAAGATACTTGAACTGGCCGGACCGCCACTTAGCTGGGTGACCTAAGGCAGCCGTCGCTCTCTGCTCCCCAGTTTCCCCCCCTCTGTGACGTGGGGAGCATACGTTTATATCACAGAGTTATCGTAAAGGGCAGATAAAATCACGCATAGGAGAAGTCTTGTTAACTGTAAACTGCCAAGCAAATGTTAGTAGCGGTTACTGATTGTTACTTAATATTGGTGACATGAATAGTATTAAGTAGGGTACTTGGCAAACACGTAAAGCTGTCCTCCACAGTGTTCACTCAGTGAACATTGGTTGCTTTCGTCGGTTTTTACTGAGAGCCTACTTTGTGCTGGCTTCGAAAAAACTCCTGGGTTTGAAGCAAGAAGCCTGCCTTTTCCAGAAGGCCCGCCGTGGCCTCGCCAGTTGCTGAACGACGTGAACCAAGCATTTCCCCATCACCACACAGCACAGAGTAGGGCCGGGGGGGGGGGGGGGGGGGGGAACCACATATAAAACCATGGCCTCCGGGCAGCCCTTCAGGGTGCTGGCCAAGCTGAGGGGGACCCACCTCCCTAGGGCATCCCATAAGACAGCGCGGAGGAGGTGTGAAACCCCAGCCCATTTCTCGAGCCTGAGGAGCAGTCCGTGTTAGTTGTTATCTTCGCTGCTTCGTAGAGGCGGGGTGTGCGACGGCGGAGAAGCCATGGACTTCCATCTCTGGCCCATCCACTTGCTGGCTGCAGGCCTCTGGCAGGTTTCTCCACTCTCTGGGCTTCAGTTTCCTGGCTAATCTTGTCCACCTTGAAGGAGCATTCTGAAGATTTAGTGAGAGCCTGTGTCTAAAGAATCGAGTCTATGCCTGGCACGGACAACCTGCTTCTCTTGCTCTTCCGGCCTCTTCTCCCTCCCCCTGCGCAAGAGCCCTGCTTGTTTCTCCAGGGCTAGTCAGAGCTTCTCTCCTTCTATTGGAGGGACATCTTGAAAGCCAGGGTGACTCTCTCCTGGAGGGGAAATGATGAGCAGGCTTCTCACATTCCAGCCATCGCTCTGGGACACCCCAGACTCCCTTTTCCCTCTGCTTGAATCCTGGGCCCAGATACCAGTAGGATGGTCATACCACCATGACAAAGCCTCTCTATACAACAAGGGTCAGCTCTCCCTTGGGCTGCTTGTCCATCAGAGGTTGTTGGGGGCTCCGGACCCTCAGTGGCAGAGAAGCCAGGGTCTGGAGTGTGGCCGGTCACGTGGGCAGAAGGAAGTTATCACGCACCGCTCGTAACTCGTCCACCCCAAAGTGACGCGTGTCTTTTCTCCCTCACGTTTAACTGGCCATGTCCCAGCTCAAGTGCGGGGTGGGAAGTACAAATCTATCACGTGCGCATCTACCGTGAGAAGAACCAGAAATCTGACGACAGCCTTAGTCACTACCACGGCCCGGCCTTAATCCATAAAGTAAGGCTGCAAGTTGGTATCATTATGGCCAATTAAAAGTTGAAGCCCAAGGTATGTCGCTTCCCCAAGACCACAGCTACAGGTCCTTGTGATTTTGTGTATCAAATCCGAAGCGTCGTCCCACTGGTAAAGGTTTTCAGTTCGGGTACTCTGCCCTTGTTCTTTCTCACCCCCACAGCAGCCTACGCCTCTCCGTGCAGGTACCGCCTACACCACCCTGTAACGATCCGTTTCCTTTGCAGTCTCTCTCTAGACTGTGCATCTTTCCATCTCTGTACCCCATGCGCCTAGCACAGATTCAGGCACAGATGTATCTGTTGAGCCAAGCTGGGGAGTCTTAGTGGGGCATGGGAGTGTAATGATTCACAGGCATAGACCTAACCAGACTGAGTCGTACTGGTTTGTTACTTAACAAAACCTGCAGTTCTTAGGAAGCAGATTGGCCTGCTGTCAGTGGGATTCTGGTGGCTCTGGGGGTGTTGTTCACATTTCAGGTCCTGTGGCTAGAGAACCCCAAGAAAACTGAGAATGGTCTCTCCCAGCTCTGAGCCTTCACTAATATGGCGGCTGTGGACATAAAGAACTGTTTTCATGGAGAACCTAAGTCCAGTTGACATTGTCTTTCCCATGTGCACATGTCTGGGTTTCTGAAAAGCTGAACAAAGTGAGCCTTTATGTATCAAATCACATATTTCACATAACTCCCTTAAAATGTCAGAGATGCATGTATCATATTAAAGGCTTCCATTTTTGCTATTTTCTCCCTGTTTAGATGCAGATGTTGGACAAATTTCCCATGGAAGGAGGACAGAAGGATCCCAAACAGCGGATCATTCCCTTTCTGCCAGGTAGGTGAGACACATGCTGTCAGAAGGGGTTTCTGGGGGTTCCAGGACCGCCCCCAGATCTCTCAGCTCAGTTTCCTTGGGGCATAATACTAATGACCAGAGTCCCAGTCATTTGTGGAAATTAGTGCCTAAGAATATGGGCTTCGGGGTTAGATGCCACACCATCTACTTAGGCAAGATATTTCACCTCCAGGATGCTCAGTTTTTTCTGTCTCTAAAATGGGAATAATTAGAGCTCATAAAGTTTTTGTAGTGAGTGGCATCTTTATTATGGTTGCAGTATTAATTTGCTATCTCTGTATAACGAATTAATGCCAATTTAACAGCTTAAAACCACACTCATTTATTATCTCACAGCTCAGTTGGTCAGAAGGCCAGGCAGTTCTGCTGGGTTCTCTGTTTAGGGTCTCATAAGGCTGAAGTCATCATCTTGGCCAAGCTGGCTCTTAGCTGGAGGATTGGGGAAGAATCCACTTCCAGCCTCATTCAGGTTGTTGGCAGAATTTACTTCCTTGTACCTATAGAGCTAAAGTACTATTTCCGGTGTGCCTGGGTGGCTCAGTCAGTTGGGCATCCAGCTTCAGCTCAGGTCATGATCTTGCCATCCGTGAGTTCGAGCCCCACATCAGGCTCTGTGCTGACAGCTCAGAGCCTGGAGCCCGCTTCAGATTCGGTGTCTGCCTCGCTCTCTGCCCTTCCCCCACTCACGCTCTGTCTCTCTCTGTGTCTCAAAAATGAATAAACATTAAAAAAGATTTTTTTTTTTAAGAGCTCATACAGTTACACTATACCTCCCTAGCTAATCCAGCATAATTTCCCTCACTTAAAGTGAATTATGGTATATGTTGTAACATGAGCCCAGGAATGAGATCTCATCATATTCACAGGCTCTGGGGACTAGGATGGGACGTCTTTGGGGTCCGTTTGAGAAATTCTGCCTGCCTATCTACCATAGCTACCAAGCACCTTCTGAGTGCCCAGCACCACTCTGGGCACTGTGGAGGAGTTAATACAATCATGGCTGGTCCCTGCTCTCAAGACATTAAGTGTTCCTTTCCCCTGCAAAAATTACCTTACCGAAGGAACAGCATGAAGGCTTCAGCTCAAAAAATGTGGCTGCCCGAACCAGAGTTATTGCTTCAAGTAGTAACATTGGATGTCTACTGCAGGCCAGTCACTGGGCTAAGTGCTTTACATTCATTACCACATTTAGTCTTCAGAACAACCCTGTGCCCATTTCACAGATGAGGAAATTGAGGCTCAGAGGAATTATAATCATTTGCACAAGTAGCAGAGCTGGGGTTAAACACTGGTATGGCTGGCCCCAAAATTCATGCCTGAAGTCAGAGGGCCCAAGTTCAAATCCCAGTGCCCTGCGGATCCACTCGGTTACCTTCGGTAAATTATTTAAGCACGCACATTATTTCCATTTGCAAATTGGAGATGATAATGATGCTTAAATGATAAAGTTGTTATGAGGATTAGCTAAGGGACTGGCACAGAACTAGCAGCAACCAAGCACTTACTATTTTTATGTACAATCAGCAAATTGACAATCGCCCCAAGTCACAAATGTTTAGCGCTGGGAGGGCCCTTTCCATCTTTTTCATTTTGCAGACAGGAAGCAGACCCAGAGAGGAGGGGGACTCCCTGGGTCACACAGGAGCCCACTCTCCCCTCCCCCACCCCAGAGTTCTGCAGTCGGCAACACATCGAGTGGGTTCTTCCAGATGTTAGCATCATCGAGTGGGTTTAGAGACAGGGTAGATGTATTTGCCAGGCCCCCGTCCACTGGGAGAATCATTTGCCTAAAAAAGCTAATGTTTTTAGTTCTTCCACGGAGAAAGTGTGCAATCACCCTGGAATTTTTGTTTCCTATTGGAGAAAACCCAGTGTACCGACTGCAGCTGCCAAATAGCAGTGCCCCACAGCGTGTGCTTTAAAGTCCAACAGACCCAGTTGTGTGACTTCCAGCAGATGACATCCCCCTGCCCCTGAGCCTCAGTTTCTACATCTATAAAATGGGACCATGACTCCCCTTTTACAAGCTTCTTGCCCTTGGATATAGTGGATTCTCTGTCAAAGTCAGAACCAGGATCCTGGGATATTCCTTTGGAATGTCTTGGTATTCATATTTGAGAGTCATACATAAACGATCAGTCTGAATATTCAAGTTGAACTTGACTCTAAATGTAGGCCTTTCTTCAAGGAAAGGAAGGAAAGCAGTAAGTTGTAACTCTTCACTGGATGAAAGGCAAAACCAGCTCTGAAAAAACTTCCCAGGACAGGGAAGAACTTGAACCGACCCTCTCCCAAGCCCCTGAAAGCTTTTGTGGTTACGTAATCTTCCACCCACGAATTTATGAAAGTGCTCTTCTCAGAGACTCAGCCCCATTTGCCCTGCTCAGGGTACCGACTTGCAGCTTGGAGTGGTCTGGTCGGGCCCCAGGACCCCTAGAGCATTCCTTCCCAGCCCACCCCTTGGCTTTTCCTTGAAGCCGAGGCCAACAGCAGGGATACGCGGGAGACACATCCCCTCTCCTCGGGGTCAGTTTTCTGCCAGGACTGCCGCGTCAGCAGAACAAAAGCAAGTCTCATGTTAGCACAAAGGCAGGGGGAGGGGAAAGGAGCCCTGTACAATTTTCCATCCCAGCAAGAGCTGGGGAAGCCAACTTGGCAGAGGATGCAGCTTGAAAAATAAGACTTACAGTTTGGCCTTCCACCACTGTGGAAAACAAAAGCCTGCCCATTCCCACCAAAGGCTGTGCTCTCCGCTGAGCACCCTTTCCACTCCAGGAAAGCTGGCCTGCCGGGGAAGGCTCGGGCTCACCCTCCTTCCCTACAGCTCACACCGAAAGGCATCAGGTGCAGACGAGGGGCCGTTGCCCAACTGGCATTTCACTCAGAGCCACCGGTCAAGGAGGTACTGGCCACGTGCTTCTGCCCCGCAGCCCAGGGCCTGAGCCAGGTTCCAGTTCTGCTGCGGATAGACAATGAGTTAGCCCATTGGAGTCAGGTCCTTCACAAACTAAGCTGCAGGTTGAGGAAAGAACGTGTGCTCTTAATTGCAGAATATAAGGCCGTATCGTCTAACCCATGTTTTTTTAAGTGATTTACTCTTTTTGTGAGCACCTAGGAAGGGCCAGGCCCTGTGCTGCGTGTGTCATGGAGGGTACTACTAAGAAATAGGGGCTGCTCTCCCATTTTACAGATAAGGAGACTGAGGATCTGAGAGAGAAATGAATTTCCCAAGGCAGCATAGTCAGTAAGAGACCACCTTGGAATTGGCCCAGGGCCTCTCTGACTGCAGAGTCTGTGGCCTCCCTGGCAGGTGCCACTGCTGCCACGGGGCTTCCTGTCCCCAGACATCTACCCAGAGACTCCTATCCCACAGAGGCCACGCAGGGAGAGGAATGGTGCTTTTGTTGTTGTGTCACCCATCCAGGAGACATTGAAGATGCCTGAGTTCTCCATCCTTCTCTCTCCGCCCCTGCAGGCTGGGCCTCGGGTGAATTCTCTTTGGTGGTGGTGCCCCCAGGGCCAGCCTGTGCTGTTCCCATGGGCCGGTGCTAGCAGCATGCCTGTTGTGAATTGTTTGAGTCGGGTCACGATCTCCCCAGTAAGAGGCCTGAACAACCCCACTCTCCACCCTTCCTCTGATTTACAGAAAGGGACGTTATATCAAAATGGGACCAAATGTTTTTGCTGTAGGAGATTTCTCTTCACAGGCATGCATTCCTTGTTTTTCCTCAAGGCTCAGGATTCTCCTAGGGGTTCTAAACTGCAAATGGTCCCACCCATGAGGGTGGTAATGTGATTATCACAGTGACTGGGGGTGGAAAGGGGTTGGGAAGGCTGTGCGCTTTCTCTGGATTTGGGCCACGGATGCTAAACATCCTGCAGGGTGGGGAACCCTCCCACACAAGGAAAGACTGCCCCACCCGAAATGTCAGCAGGGTCCCTCCCTGTTGGGAAACACTGACTCAGTGCCAAGAGGGCAGCCCCCTGCACTGGCCCGCAGAGGGCTCACGTGGAGACTGTTATCTATCAACTGAATAAGAGCAGGGATGCCAGGTTGTAAACCCTCCCCGCTTGGCTGCGTAATTTACTTTTTTATTGTAAAGGACAAAATTTTCTGATTCCGGAAGGAATGCATGTTTATGGTAGGAAATTTGGGGAAAGTCAAGGAAGAAAACAAAAAGGCTCTTGTCTTCTACCCCTTGGAGACAAGCACTTTGAATCCTGTGATGCATTTTCTTCTCGATTTTTTCTTTCCTAATAGACATGGTATGTCCGAAGTTTGACTCATGAGCAGAATTAAAACAATCACCATAATAAACAAAGGAGATTCCTCGTTATTAAGGAATATGAGGAAGATGTATTTGATCTCACTGTGGGTTGTTGTTTTCTTTCTAATTGGTAGAAATTAAGCAAAAAAACAACAACAACCAAAAAAAACACCTCACTATGAGGCTGACCGTATCTACCTAATATACTAATTGTGCCCTTTTGCCCAAGAGCAAGTGGTCAGATAATTTTAAATGTTAGATTAGCCACATGGTCTCTTTGGGTGCAAATCTCCCTTACCAGCTTGCATGGAACATCTCAAAGGCAGTACACTGTCTCCCATCATCATTTCCAGTTCTGTCCTATTACGAAAATTCCTTTGGACCTTTCCTCCTATTCGGTTCCTGCTCACCCAAGCTCATTCTATGCGGTCTCACCAGAGCAATGTTGGCATGCTGATTGATCTCTCCTCACCCTGCCAGGCTTGTGGCCCAAATTCCTCTCCTTGACCTGCCTCCTCAGGCCAGAAGTAAGTGAAGCTCTCCATAGCTGTCCATACTCTGCTGTCTGAAACGCTATGGTCCCCCTGTGTTTTCCTCTTTGACTTCCCCCTGGAGACCTCTTGACACTCTGATAAGCTTGGCAGAGGAGCTTGTCTCCATCCCCCACTTTTTGGCCCCCCCTTGGTGTCTTATTTCTGATTTTGCTCACCCCCTCCCTGTGTGACAGGTCCAAAAGGGTAAGGCCGAGCTGTCTTAATGGTCAGTGCATGTACTTGACCACCATCTGCCCATGACTCTCCCCTGTGAGACTCACGGGAACTCACCAATTTGCTTAATTTTTTTTAACATTTATGTCTTTGGGAGAGAGAGAGCATGCGCATGTACACATGAGCGGGGAGGGGCAGAGCGAGAGAATCCCAAGCAGGCTCTGTGCTGTCAGGGCAGAGCCTGAATTGGGCTCCCTCCCACAAACCATGAGATCATGACCTAAGCCAAAATCAAGATTCAGACCCTTAACCGACTGAGCCACCCAGGAGCCCCTCACCAATTTGCTTTAAACAAACCTCACCCATAACATTTTAGCATCTTGGATATTTCCAGACATCCTCAGCGGCATCGTTTATATACTTGTCTTTGCCTGTGACCTGCCCACATGTCACACTAGAAGCTCTGGATATCACCGAGCAAGTCATCAATTGATTCTCAGTTCGTTTTCAGTGAAATAGGAAGGCTTGGAACTCTTCTGTTAGAACTGATTGTAAGGAATTTGTCATCTTGAAGGATTTGTCAATTGAAGGATGTCATCTTGGCAAGTGAAATCCCCCTTTATACATTCATCAAACATGAGTGCCATGTGGTGAGGGCACACAATTGACTAAGGCCCAGTCCATCCCTTTTTGTGCAGAGCTCCATGACTAGTAGGAAAGAAGAAGATGTAAATCAACAATGTGATGTGTGCAGTCAGAAAGAGACATGAACTCTTAGTCCATTTAAAGTGGGTAAAAAGTTTCCCACTGGGAGAGTGGGTGATGTTGGATGGGGAAGGTTTTCCAGACAGAGAAAAAGAAAATAATGAAGACTGTGGAGTATTTGGGGAATGTAAGACTAGACTAGGTGTACGAGGAAAGAGGAAGAAAGGAAACTGAGCTGTTAGGTTGGACATATCAGAGTGTCCTCTCTACTGCTTGCCCCATCTGAGAACCCTGGAGTTGGATCATCAGATCTGACCTACCTTCTTCATCTGGCAGGAGCCCCTTCCTTCCACACGATTGGTCCAGCCTCCCTTATCTCACCAAAACTTGCCTAGTCGATCCCAGTCACTCAAGCCCTTGCACTTGATCTGTGAACAAGGCTTTGGAGGACCATGCATGGGGTCATCCAGGCCCTGTGGACATCCAACAGGGGATATTAATGGAAGCCAGGAATTTGGGTACCACTCACACCTAACAGAGGCAGCCACATCCACACCCTCCAGGATTGCTGACAGCTTGTCATTGCTCGCATACAGTGTCATGTGTGCTTTCATTTTCTGCAGGCAAAATTCTCTTCCGAAGAAGCCACATCCGGGATGTTGCTGTCAAACGCCTGATCCCAATTGATGAATACTGTAAGGTCGGTCTAAGAAATGCCAACACTTGCCCTGTGTCTCATGTCTTTCATTGGGTTGTGTGGTTTTTTTTTTTTTTTCCTTCTTTTCCCTTTCTGGCTACAAAATAGTCATCTGCAGTTCAAAGAAATGTAAAAACAGAAAAACAACCACCCATGATCCCTCAACTCAGAGGCAACAGTTATTAAGGTTCTTATGTTTCCTTTCTATCTTTTCTCTCTACATGCATTTCTTTATGGTTTTGACACTATCCCACATGTGTTATTTTTGTTGCTCTTTTTTTTTCCTTTAATATTGTAATATAAGAATTTCCCCATGCTATAAAAACATTCTCTTGAACCTCCCGTAACTGGTTGCATGGTATTCTACTGTGTGTGAATGTCCCAGAAGTTATTCAGCCAACCCCTGTTGTTGGACAGTGCAGCTGGCTTCCAATCCCTTGAATGTTCTAAACCACAAGGTGCCCGCCTTTTGGTTGTATCTCGTTTGACTGGAGGCTGTGGTTGGGGGAAAAAAGCATGCTTTTCCTCTGTTTAGTTTCCCTTATCTTTAGTATTTATTTTTCTAGCTTCAAATCACTAGAAGCTCTGATTGGAGAGGGTGGGAAGAACAAGAAATACTATCACAATGGAGCAGTAAATGCTCTCTCTCCCTAGGATCAGGAACAAAGCAAGTACATTTTTCTTGCCACTTCTGTTCTACATTTTGCTGGAGGATCTAGCCAATGTAAGCAGACAAAAAAAGAAATAATAAAAGGCATATGGGTTGGAAAGAAGGAAGTAAAACTTGCCTTCCTTCACAAATGACATGATTCTATTGTAGAAAATCTTAAGGGATCCACACAAAAAAAACCTACTAGAACTAATACAAAAGTTTAGTAAGATCACAGGATACAAGATCAATATCAAAAATCAATTGTATTTCTAAGCACTAAGCATGAACAATCCAAAAATGAAATTAAGGAAATAATTCCATTCTCAATAATATCAAAATAAATAAAATACTTAGGAATAAATTTAATAAAAGAATTACAAGGTTTATACATTGAAACTACAAAACACTTGACAGAAATTAAACCAGCTCAAAATTAATGGAGAGACATTCCATACTCATGGATTGGAAGATTCAATAGTGTTAAAATGGCAGTTGTTACTCAGCCATAAAAAAGAATGAAATCTTGCCTTTGCAACGACATGGAAGGAGCTAGAGAGCATATTGCTAAGTGAAATAAGTCAGTCAGAGAAAGACAAATACCATATGATTTCACTCATGTGGAATTTAAGAAACAAAACAAATGAACAAAGGGGTAAAAGAGAGAGAGAGAGGGAGGGAGAAATCAAGAAACAGACTCTGAATTATAGAGAACAAACTCGTGGTTACCAGAGGGGTGGGAGGGGGAGGGGATGGGTGAAATTGGTGATGAGGATCAAGGAGGGTACTTACGATGAGCACCGGGTGTTGTATGGAAGTGTTGGGTCACTGTATAACTAACTGGAATTTAAATAAAAACTTTTTAAAAATCTAGGAGGGCAAATTAGAATTTGAGTGTTAGGATGAATGTCTTAATGAGGACAATATATTGTATATTTGTGTGTGTGTATAATATATACACGTGTATGTGTGTGTGTAGAGAAATTGATATGAAAAAGACAAACAACCATATAGGAAAAATGGATGAAAGACAGGACTAGAAATACAAAGAAAAACAAATCCCAGGGCGCCTGGGTGGCTCAGTTGGTGGGAGTCCAACTCTTGGTTTTAGCTCAGGTCATGATCTCACAGTTAGTGAATTTGAGCCCTGCATCAGGCTCTGTGCAGGGCCTGCTTGGGATTCTCTCTCTCTTCCTCTCTCTCTCTCTGCCCCTTCCCCTCTCACACTGTCTCTCTCAAACTTCCCAGTGACCAACAAAACAAAAGATACTACAAATAAAATAAAATAAAATAAAATAAAATAAAATAAAATAAAATAAAATAAAATAAAATAAAAAAATAAAATGGCAGTTCTCCCCCAGTTGATCTATAGATTGAATATAATCTCTGGCAAAATCCTAGTAAGCTTTTTTAGAGAAATTTACAAGCTGATCCTAAATTGTGTGGAGAAATGCAAGGAACCCAAAATAGCCAAAACAATTATGAAAAAGAACAAAATTAGAGGCTTCTACTATCCATTTTCAAAACTTCCTACAAAGCTATAGCAATGAAGACAGTGTGGTACTGGCATAAGGATAGGCATGTGGATCAGTGGAACAGAAGTAAGAGGCTAGAAATAAACTTTTGTGAAATTTATAGTCAAATGATTTTCAGCAATGGTGCCAAGAAATTCAGTAGGAAAAGGATAATCTTTTTAACAGTGTGGGATAATAGGACATCCATACACCAAATAAAAGAAAAAAAATTATGTTGGATCCCTACCTCACACCATGCACAAAAAACAACTCAAAATGGATCACAGACCTAAACGTAAGAGCTAAAACTATAAAACTTCTAGAAGAAAACATAGGAGAAAATCCTCATGACCGTAGTTTAGGCAGAGAGTTCCTAGCTGTGACACCAAAAGAGAAAAATTGATAAATGGGACTCATTAAACTTCCGAACTCTGTACTTCAAAAAGATCCCATGAAGAAAATGAAAACACACACCACAGATTAGGAGAAAATATTTGTAAATCATATCTCTGACAAGGGACTTGTATTGAGTCTATATGAAGAACTCTTGCAACTCAACAATAAAGATGGCCTGGTTTAAAAATAGGCAAAAGATTTGAACAGAAATTTCACCTAGGAAACACATAAAACACATAACAAGGTGTTCAGCTTCTTTATTCATTATGCAATGCAAAATAAAACCATAATGAGATACCCTACGCAGCCCTTGGAATAGCTATAATCAACAAGACAGACAAAACCAAGAACTGGTAAAGATATGGAGAAATTAGAGCCCTCATTCTGGAGGGGATACATGATGGAAAGCCACTTTGGAAAACAGTTTGGCAGTTTCTTCAAAAAAGTGAAATTTACCGTATAACTACTCTTTGATATCTACTCAAGAGAATTGAAAAACTATGTCCACACAAAGACTCGGATGTACATGTTCTAGCAGTACTAATCCATAATAGCCCAAAATTGGAAGCAATCCAAATGTCCATCGTCAGGCGCATGGATAAAGAAAATGTGGAATAATCATACAATCGACCATTATTCGACAGTAAAATGCAGTGAAAGACCAATAAATGCTGCAACTTGGATGAATCTCAAAAACATGATGCTGAAAAAAGCCAGATGCAAAAGACTACATACTGCATGATTCCATCTACATGAAATGTGCAGAAGAGGCGACTTTACGGAGACAGAAAGCAGATCAGTGGTTTCCTAGGCCTGAAGACAGCATAGGCAGACATGGACTGCAAATTAGGTGGGGGAAATTTTTGAGGTGATGGAAAAGTTCTAAAACTGGATTGTGGTCATGGTTGCATACTCTGTAATTTACTAAATATCATTGAATTGTGCACTTATAATGGGTGGTTCTTATGTACATAAATTATACTTCAATACATCTATAAAAAAATTTAAAGGAGGCAGTGTGGGCATAGATGACCCTTGTCTTGGCAGGAGATGTCATGGAAGGGTAGAAAATCATTCCTGATCACTCCTGTTCTCTCTTTACTGGACATAACCTCGTTTCATCCCTCCAATAACCTTGAGAAGTAGGTTTTACTATTCCCGTTGTGTAGATGAGGAAACAGAGGCCCGACAAAGTTACTTACAATGAGAGTATTACAGAGTTTGATGGTTGAACCCTGGCCTTTTAGGCCTTGGCACTCACATACCACATATGGCCTCTCTTAAGAAAGTAAAACTTCAAGAGATCAAAATATTCAAGCATATATTTCATAGACGTAGATAAACTCAGACTCTTTCTCTCCTAAAGATACCCTTAAAAAAGGATTGGGGAGTGAAGCACAGAGAAGGTCACCCAGGCACAAAGATGCTACTACTGCCTCCCAGCTCTCAGAGGAAAGTTCGGATCATCTGTGCTTTGTGTCTTTTCAAACCTCTACAGCCTAAAAGTCCTTTGTGCCAGCCTTGCTGGCAAGAACTTTGGACCTCTGGGGTCACCTGGGCCAGCTGGGGATTTCTCAGACCAAATTGTGCTATCCTGCTTCTTCCTCTGCCCACCCAACTCCTCTCCAGAGTCACACTTTCCTCATACCCAGGGGGTCACGAACCTCTAGACATTTGATTTTGAAAAGGAGATTTAATAAAACCCTGAAATGAACAGATAGCAGCAGCTGCCTGCGTCTGGCTGATGCTTGGAATGGTACGGAGATCATGAATTCACTTGGATTAGCCATAGGGAAGAAGCCGCTTATGTTGTATGAGCCACATGGAAGTTACCACCCCCTGCTATTAATGCATCATAAGAAGCAGAGCAGATATTTTGGGGTTTTGGTTGGCCAAATTCCCTGGCTTAGCTTCAAGGGAACTGCCCTCCTGGAGGGAGATGAAACTATCTATTCACACAGTCTGCAAAATCTTTTACAGACTACATAGACTTATTTAGCATTTGGGTATCTGTTATTGACATTGTTGTGAGCTGACTTAAGCCAATTTAATCTATCACTCTTAGCCTTATTTTAGTAGAAATTGGTAGTCTCCAATAGGGAAAGATAGACAAAGGCTGTAGGTATCCCTAGACCTAGTTACCAGCTAGGAAGAAACCTTCTGCTCTGCTAGACCTATTATAAAGTTACAGTACTTAACATAGTATGGTGTTGGCATAAGGAAACAAACCTTTGGAACAAAATAGAGAATCCAGAAACAGACCTGTGTGTATTTGGACATTTTAATACTGGCAAAGGCAGCCTTACAGGTCATTGAGGAAAGGTTGGATTCTTCAGTAAATGGGAATCCTTATGGGGCGCCTGGGTGGCTCAGTCGGTTAGGCAGCTGACTTCGGCTCAGGTCATGATCTTGCGGTCTGTGAGTTCTAGCCCCTCGTCGGGCTC